TGCGCAGCGGCGGGCGGCGTGCCCCTGGACGAGGAGGTGAGGCTGGTGCGCCTGGCCGAGGGCTCGGAGGAGTTTCGGGACACGGTGCGCAGCTTCTACGACACGCTGGACAACTTCCACAACAAGATCCGTGTGATTAAGGTGTGTGAGCGCGGGCGGGCAGCAGGGAGTTGCGGGGCTGTGCCGGGGTCCCCCTGCACGGGCAGGGCTGCGTGGGGGCAGCTCGCCGAGCTCAAGGGAGCACGGTCTCTTGTGCCCACGCGCTGTGGCGTGCCTGCCCCACGGTGCGCAGCTTCTACGACACGCTGGACAACTTCCACAACAAGATCCGTGTGATTAAGGTGTGTGAGCGCGGGCGGGCAGCAGGGAGTTGCGGGGCTGTGCCGGGGTCCCCCTGCACGGGCAGGGCTGCGTGGGGGCAGCTCGCCGAGCTCAAGGGAGCACGGTCTCTTGTGCCCACGCGCTGTGGCGTGCCTGCCCCTCGGGACTGGACCTGGCACCCCGGTGCAGGTGTGGCGGGTCATGCTCCCCAATGGCCAAGGCGTTGGCACCTTCCTGCACCCATCGCCCAAGAGGCTCCTTGGATGCCCGAGGGCTCCGGGTTGAGGACCAAGCGGGGGTCAGCGAGGCTGCCGGCCTGAGCGCCCTGCCCATGTCGCTGCGCAGGTGGAGAAGCTGATCCATCCGCTGCTGTACCAGCAGTACCAGCTGAAGAAGGCGTGCATGGAGAAGGCCTGCTGCCACCGGCCCGTGGAGCGGCTCCTCTACCACGGCACCACCGAGGAGTCCAGCCACGAGATCTGCCAGCACGGCTTCAACCGCAGCTTCTGCGGCAAGAACGGTGCATGGGCCGGGGCTGGCGTGGCCTGGGGGTGCTGCATGGCAGGGTTGGGGGAGCAGAGCTGATGCCTGCTGGCATCAGGGCACGGGGCGCTGGCCTCCATGGGGGGGCCCCCAAACGGGGCAGAACCTGGCACCCTGTGCCCTGCGGTGCTGACCCACCTGTGCCCCGTTGCAGCCACGCGGTTCGGGCAGGGCGTGTACTTCGCGGTGAAGGCCGTGCTGTCGGTGCAGGAGATGTACTCCCCGCCCAGCGCCGACGGCAACAAGTACATCTTCGTGGTCAAGGCGCTGACGGGCGAGTTCACGGTGGGCACCCCGGACATGCGAGTGCCCCCGCTGCGGG